GAGAGGCCTTGTCGACGAGAGGTAGAAGCCCATATCCGAAAGGTGGTAACAGAGGGAGGTCAAAGTCTAGAGGCCGTCACCAACTAACAAAGAACCAATGTGCATTCTGCAAGGAGCAGGGACATTGGAAGAGAGACTGCCCGAAGCTCAAGGAGAAAGAGAATGGCAAGAAAAAGGGCCCGAAGGCCAATGAGGTGAACATTGCGAAAGGCGATGATTCCGATGATTCGTGCTTTTCTCTACTGATTACTCCGGAGGTGAACCATGTGGATGCATCAGATTGGATGCTTGATTCCGGCGCTACCTTTCATGTGACCCCTAGGCGAGACTGGTTTGCATCTTTTGAGAAAGTCGACGGGGGCGTTGTTGTCATGGGAAATGATCAATCCTGTGGCGTTTGTGGGATAGGTACCGTGCGGATTAGGATGCACGATGGAGTAGTCCGTGAGTTGAAGGAGGTGAGATTTGTTCCTCAACTGAAGAAAAATCTTATCTCAGTTGGAGCTTTGGAGGCGAAGGGATTCAAGGTGACTTTCGAAAACGCTGTAGCGAAGGTTACTAAGGGATCATTGGTGGTGATGAGGGGAGTCCGCAATCGGAATTTGTATTATCTGAAGGGAAGCACCGAGATTGGCCAGGTTGCTTCGGCTATTTCAGAAGCGGACATGAGCAGACTTTGGCACTATAGGTTGGGGCACACAGGTGAAAAGTCACTGCAGGCATTGTGCAAGCAGGGGCTATTGAAGGGAGCCAAGAGTGGGAAGATTGAGTTCTGTGAGCACTGTGTTCTTGGCAAGAAGACGAAGGTGAAGTTCGGGACTGCCATTCATCAGACGAGGGGCATCCTGGATTACGTGCACACAGACGTTTGGGGTCCCACCAAGACTGCATCACTTGGTGGTCGACATTGGTTCGTCACTTTTGTAGATGACTATTCTAGGCGTTACCTCCTCTCTAGATCGCCGTCATATCCGTCTCCTTTGGACGACGTTGATGGATCTGCGCAGACACCGCCGTCTCCTTCCCCGGTCTCTCGTTCCACCTTCCGATCCGCCGCTCTCTTCCCCCGAGCTTTCTCCCGCCAGATCCGCCGCCGACTTCTGGACCTCGTGCGCCGGCGACGGAGCTAGTGAAGGCGAAGGGAAAGGCGACGAAGGCGGTGATAGAGAGGAACAGTCGCCAGTCGGAGAGTGTTTGGGCGGCGGTCTACAAGAAGAGGCAGGAGTCTAGGGTTAGCAGCAGTCTACAAGAAGAGGAACAGTGGCGGCGGCTCTGATACCATGTTGTGTTTGGGTGAAAATTAGGGTTACTTACTCTCATAGAGAGGTACCCTTTTTATAGAAATGCATTCTTACAGATAGGTCCTTACAATATTGACTAATTACTATCTAAATAACTCAACACAGCCAAATAAAATAAATCACCTGTCTTTTTTGGAGAAAAACTAAGGGTAATTGTATATCTTTAAATATAAAAGAAAAGTATGTAGGAAAATATGGAAAGGGGAAAGAGCATAAACTATTATGTGGCTTAGCTTTACGCACAACAACACAAATAGGTACAACTTTAGTGCAGGGAAAGTTAAATACGGAAAACAATGAAAATGAACTGCTTATTATCAAGTTGTGTCGACAATATTCGTTAACAGTTTTAATATGAGAGATGCAACATGAAATATTATGATGCAATACTTTATAGTGCCATGTACTGTTATGCATATTATAAACTGGCCGACGCGGTTTTCCTCCAAAAAAGTTGGTTGACATGGTTATAACTGGGTTTAGGTTTGACATGTGAGTCAATCTAGCTAAGCCAGACTATAAATGATGTATGGTTTCAGCTGTAGCCAATTCCTTATCATAGGACATGATAATTATGTCAAATGCTCACTAGGGCTGTAATTCTTAATCAATAGCGCTGTAATTCTTACTCAAAGATCAACCGAGCTAGAATTTCATGGGTAGTGATCTTTAAAATTGTGTACGCTTGGGGCCAAAGCAGAGATGCTCGGCGAACTGTGGAGAGAATGTAAATGAGGCTTCCAATTCTGGAAGAAAGGTAGAACTCTAAAACTCATACGAGAGGGTTTTACTTATGTATACGTAAACAAAAATCAGGCTTTAATCTATTTCTTGACCTGAGTCTTATTTATTTGTGTACTTTACTCACTTGGTAGGATGCCAAGGGCCTGTCAATGGCTGGGTTTATCAGCTGGTTTATATGGCGCTCAGCTTATCTGACTCGAGTAGTTAGCTGGAGGAACAGGTTTTATGTAGCTGTTAACTGGGCTACCACCATTGTGTTCGGCCGTGATAACTCCAGGATTGGGTAAATATATCAATGATGTCGCCAGATACTTGTTGAAGAAAGGATACAGTTGATGCTAATAATATACTTCCAATGAGTTGAATATCGTTTGGATAACATCAGCTCCATTTAAACGATTCACATGTTCCATTACAGTTATCTTTAGTTTCAATTTTGATATCAAATGTTGAGAGGCCATCTCTCCAGTTTTGACTCGATGTTGTTGTATTCAGTTGTATTTCTACAGAACGAAGGTTTCTTTCGTGAGAATTTTGATGTCTCTTGGTTGTATTTTGTACTAGCTCTTGAGTAGACTGTTTTTTTTTTTTTTTGTATCAGTCTGCAGAAGAATAGTCGGAGGTTATTTTCTATCTTCTCTACAATTGGTAAGCTGCTGTGAACGTGAGCATAATTGTGAACGTGAGCATCAATTACTCGTGGGGGCCACCCACGTGATGTTTCTGCGTGAATTGATGGAGCCGGACGTTTTTTATTTCATCTTCGCATGAGTACACGAAGCCAAGCCGGCCCACCCGAATAATCACAAGGATATATATATTCCTAGGTTTCTTTCGGGAACAGTGAGCGAAGGAGGTGTTGATTTTTTTTGTTGCGGCTGCGAGAAAAATCGAAGCAGGGGTTTTTGTGATTGCGGCTGTGAGCGTGGAGATTTTTGTGAATCCCTTTTAGGGTTTTGTGCATCCCTTTGAGAGATATTTGTGTGAGGGTTTGAGAGTTTGTTTGAGGGTTTAGATTGAGAGTAATTGTAAACCCTAGTTGTATCTCTCCCTCTATTAGTAGATCTCCCCCCTCCTTGCCCCGTGGACGTAGGCAATTTGCCGAACCACGTAAAAATTGATTGTACTGCTTTTGTGTGATTTGTAATAGCTTTTAGGGTTCCTCGACGCGCAGTCCTAGAGCTGACGAGAGGAAGAGCTAATATCCTACTTTGATAGGATATAGGCTTCAGATTCTTATTTCCTTTGAGAAACAAGAATTCTTATTGCGACCTGACTCTCTTGTTGTGCTGCCGAAGTGCTGCCGAAATTTCCGCTGCGCGCAACAATAAGCACATGCATGCACATACAGCCATGTTACCATGTCCTTCTATATTACTTGTTAAAGGTTTGTTGTGTTTCCGTGCTATACTCTATTGAACCAGTCTCGTATATCAATATCCATGCTTCTCAGGTATCACATTTTCGGGAAACATGGAGTTCAGTAGACTATTGATTGTTTACTTGGAATTTTAGTGAGAAGATGAGTGGTTTATTTATGGGGAAATACACCTTTCATATTTTTTAAACTCTTATCATGCTTTACATTTTGCTGAAAGTAGTCTGCGAGCACGCGATTAATATTTAAAATTTGCATCAGACACTACTTTGATTATGTACTATGTCTGGTGGTATGTTGGTGTTGTAGAGGACTTAGAATTTCGTCCACTGCTCTACAGGTGTTGTAGGACCTATTTGGATTAGTTATTTTTATGAGTTTTTCTTAGTCCCTAAAATCTTTAATATTTTGAAATTAGTCCCTCAAATCATTGGAATTGCTATTAGGTCCCCAAATTTGTTTATCTTCTCTTGATTAGAGGGATTAATTTGTAAGAACTTACATAAGAGTTGAGAGACCAAATGGAAATTTCAATGATTTAAGGGAGTAATTCTGAAACAATTTTATAAGAATTTGAGGTCCTAATATAAATTTCAATGATTCGAGGGACTACATTTTAAAATATTAACGATTTAAGGGTTAATATCAATTGTTTTTAAAATTGTAGTTCTGACTACATTTTGCAAGCCTATTAACTGCGATTTTCTAAGCCGGTAATATTTCACTAACATCGTGACTGTTTGGATACAATATGCTGAGAATAACGGGAAGTGTTAGGTTCTCATGAGAAGGGAAAGCAAAGATAGGGTGAGAAGAGAAAAGGGAGGACTCTTCTCTTTTTTCTTGCATCATTTGGGGTTTGCAAAATATCCAGTCTGACTATATCCTTATAAAATTCTGTTAAGCTCAAGTTTTTGTGGTTTAGACAGTTGTCCTCTACTAAACTGTGAACTGGAGCCAGAAGTAACTGAGTCTTGCATTCTATTGTTAGATAAGTTAATTGCAGAAAACTACATTTAAGAAAATATTGGCAAAAGGGAGATTTTACCTAAGCACAGGCTATAGACCATTTTTAGGTGAGAACGTACCTTATCTTTACTCTAGAGATGATTGTCTTTTGGCGCACGTGCTGAATGTCTACGTAAGGCTGACATGGGAACTTCAGATGTCCTTTTTGTAGTTACATTTTTTCCTATTCTACAGGCAAACTCCTACGACTAGTTCAGAGTCTGTATTGTTGGGACTGGACCTTTTGTGTGTTTGTATTTCTCAACATGTGTGTTCACAGCCATACATGAGTCCATTAAGCAACCACCACTTATTTGCATTATATACGGAAACACTTTCAACTTTTTCATAATATATAACATATTAATAAAAAAATCACATTGTTTTTTCCCCTTTTGCTTAGCTGGGCATCCTCGTTCCTCGAGATCATGAATGAGGAAACTTAATTTCTGCAATTAATGCAAAATATCACATGTTATTTATGAGAGACTTCTATTCAATTGAACGTTCACCTGTAATTCGGTTCTACTGCTGCTTTAATACTAGTTTTCTTATTTTTCCATCTTCAGGTACTATGTTGCTCCATCTGGAAAGAAACTGAGGTCAATGGTTGAGATACAAAAGTATGTCCATGTCTTCTTTTTCTCATATTTTATGATATTTCTCTTTGTTTCCTCTGTGTAACTAGACATCTTTAATACCAAAAAAAAAGTAAGCTGGAGCATGTTTATAGCTTATGTTATATGTGACTCAAATACTACATCCGATATTTCTTGGGCTTGGTTTTGGCCAAGGCTGCAATCAAGAGTTTGTTGCCTTGTGGAAGTGTGAATGGTTCTGTGATAAGGATAAACAACGCATAGTGGACTTGGATTAGAGTTCAGTTAGAACTCTTTGATTACTTGGTCACCAAGAATCTTGTTGGCTATTGGATTTCAATCCAATTTGGAGATGCATTAGGGATATCACTTTTGGTCTCTTTATATATGATCCGAACATCATCATGGCTGTTTGCACCAAAAGAGAAATAGAGAACAGTGTTCTCTTCTGAAGTCAACCGAGAGCATCAAGGGCAAAGGTTTTCAAAGCATCTACAGTAAATCTCAACTCTATTGAGGTTTTATGTTCATCTCTTGGTTGTTGATTAATTAGCTCTTGAGAGGGATTGTATCGGGTTTTTGAGGTATGTTAGGGATTAAGTGTTTGAGAGATCTCCATATTGTCTTCCACACAATTTAGTAAAGCTATTCACCTCCTTCGCACATGGTCATAGGCTATAAGACGAACCATGTATATCCGTATATATTTGTCTTCTTGATATTTTTCTGTACTTTCGTGTGATTGACATATCCTTGGGATTTGTCATAAAAAATCAGAGATACTATGATTTATAGTCGAGATTCTATTGGCATCAATGATGTTAAAGAGAACTTGTTGAATAAGGATAAGATAGACAGAGATCTAACTACAAGCGAAAGTAGTGATAAAACTGATGTTTCGTTTGTTTGAAAAAGATCGAAAGAAAGGGGCTTTGATGTAACATGTATAAGTCAAAGCATAAGAATCTGACTTGCGAATATGGCAAAAGAAAAGGGCACATTAATGCCGATCGTTATAGGTTGAAGAATAAGAAGAAACAAGCATAGTATGAAAAAAGATAAATGGAGAACTTCGGTGAAGTTGGTATTGCTGAAGATGTGATTTTGTTAGTTACCGATGATAAAACTAGAAGCAAGAAAGATTGGATTTTAGATTTGAGTTGTTCCTATTATGTGTGTCCTAATCGGGGTTAGTTCGCCACTTACGAAGTTATTGATGATAGAATTATTTTCATGGGGAATAACTGTTGAGCGCTGCGGAAGCCAAACAACCAAACCAATGTGCTTCGAGAGACCAAATCAAACGTCGAAAGAAGGCCAAACGAACCAAATCAATGTGCTTCGAGAGACCAAATCAAACGTCGAAAGAAGGCCAAACGAACCAAATCATTGCCACAAACACAAACAATCAATTTTAACGTGGTTTGGCAAGTTGCCTACGTCTACGGGGTAAGAAGGGGATAAAGTTTTTCACTAATAGAAAAAAAGAGTACAAACTGAGATTACAAATTACTCACTCACCAATTAATCTCACCAACAAATTTCTAATTCTTTTCAAACAAAATCCTAACCAATAGCTTAGAAATATCTTTTTTCTATGTTCCAAATATCCTCAATTTTCTTCTCTTTTCTCTCTTCCAATTGTTTCATATATAGAAATCCTAAAATCATAAACATACTAGAAATTCTAAAACAAAAAACAAAACAGATTAGGAATCCTAATAACCTGTTATCAAAATAGATTTGGAATCATGTTACCAAAACAGATTAGGAATCTCAATAACCTGTTATCAAAAAAATTAGGAACCTACTATCCAATAATTCTTCACCTCGGCGAAGTTTTCTCAAAACTTAGCCGACACAAATAGCAACCAAACATCTCACTTGTTATGTCCAGTACGAAGTGGAATAAATCCACGACAACGGACTCAATCCATAACAAGTCAAGAGCCCAAACGAGAATGCGAACAAACTCCAAATATCGGTATCAACTCACCAAACCGGCTGCATCATAAATGACTGCCTACGTATCCTCTTGCCCAAAAAATTAAGCCTTCACGTAATTCACTCAAACGGCCTCCAAAGACCCTCAATTAAATAGAAAAGTTTATAACTTTTCACCAATATCACTAACGGATCTGTAACTGATAGCGTTCCTAATGGTCCCAAACTGAAACAAATCAAACATCTCTACCTGAGGTGAATCAATGATCGTATCCAAAACATGTCCACCAGCTGCACTCGAATCCAAAACCAACTCATCATCTGCATCAAAATCCAAATGATCTCTAAACTGTCACCTTAGCTAGAATCTCAAACGATGTAGTATGATCTGGAGTATGTGGAGTAATCTTCATCCAATGTGAAATAGTATCACCCTCCACCCGCTACGATATCCCAATGATCCGATCAACACTTCACCTGCCGAGAGCAGTGTTTTTAAAGGCGCTCTCGGGCGCTCGCCTCGGGCGCAAAGCGCTGCGGCGCGATGGAATAGCGCCCCGCATGAGGTGCGGGACGCTACAGTTACGCCAGGCGCGCGCCCCATGCCGCCCGAGAGCGCATCGCTTGTGCAAGGAAGGCGATCGCCTCAGTTTTTCATCGCGACTGGCTTCAGAAAATGCGGGCTATCGGGTAGAAACCCGACTCAAGCTTAAACCAAAAGGCCAAAAAACAAAACTAACCTATTGCAAAGAATTAGGGCATCGTTGTCTCTCCCTTTCTCTTCCAGTTTGGTGACTTCGTGGTCGGTGATTTCTTGTTCGGTCCTCGGTGACTTGGGGTTGGGTGACTTCGATCTTCGGTGGTGACGAGAAGCCGGCGACGAGCAGGAAACGGCGAGCATCCGCGGTGAGCATCGATCAAAGGTAATTTTTCCTTTTAAATTTTTTTTTTTGCCTTTTTTCTTTTCTTTCTCAACTCAGTTCTCTTTCTTTTCTCTGTTCGGTCTTCGGTCTTTGTTCTCCCGTTTCTTTTTTATTTTGCTGTTTCTTTCATTTCTTTTTTCACTTTTTTTTCTTGCTGGCTGCCGCTTCCGTTCTTTTCTTATGTTCTCTTTCTTTTTTTTCGAAGCTGCTGCTCTTTTCACTGTTTTTTATCTTCCGTTCTTTTCATTTCTTTTTTTCTTGCTTCGGTCTTCTGTCTTTGTTCTCTTTCTTTTTTTTCCTAGCTGCTGCTCTTTTCACTGTTTTTTTAATCTTCCGTTATTTTTATCTTCGGTCTTTGTTCACTTTTTTTTAATTTTCTGCTTCTGTTCTCCATTTGCCTTTGATCTGCGGTTTTTTCTTTTTTTTTACTTCTTCACACATGAATGTTGGTTTGTGGACTATTTTGATTAATAATAGGCTAATGATTACTTGATGTTTGATCACTTGATTAATAATAGGCTAATTGATTAATAATAGGCTAATGATTAATAAAGAGAGATTTATTTTATTTTAAATGTGCATATGAATGTTGAAATGTGCAGAGTCATGAAGTTATGAAATTGCTACTATTTGCTTCTTATTAATACATATCAGTCATAATTGTTGAAAATGTGCTACTATCTGATTTCCTGTGCGAGACTGCGAGTATTGATTCTTGCTATTTGAGCTAGGTGTAGTGCTACTAGTTGATTTGAAAGTTGAAACTTGAAACTTGATTTGTCATTTGTAACCTGTAAAAAGGAAAATAAAATTTAGCAATATAGTTGTTAATGATGCAATATAATTTAGCAATATAGTTGTTAATGATGCAATCTATGTGAAATTTTACAAATATTTTTTTTCATGCATCTTGTATATCTTCAAAAATTTTGTGGTCTGGAGTGCGCCTCGCTTCGCTCGGGCGCGTGCATCGCATTGCGCATTGCGCATGTACGCGTAAACTAACTTTGCGCCTCGCATTGCGCCTCGCGCATTGAAAACACTGGCCGAGAGTCAAATGTGACATACCTGCTCAGAACAAAATCAGAAGCTCCTAACTGATAATCAAACGAACCTCTGAATCCCAAATGTGTAATCGGATCAAATCTCACATCCTCGATGTGATCAAATATTGGGCAACCAAATATCCGACGCAATCCAAAATCTAAAGCATCTCCATCAGATCCAAAATCTCTACACGTAGCAGTCGACAACCTATGACCAAGATGACCCAAATATGTTGAAGCTCTAAAATCAAAATCAATGCTCGACAACCAACATCGATCCTCCTCCAGTAAGGAACGACCCATCAAAATTGTCATCTCATCTCTTCGTCCTAATGTCTCCGTATCAATGAAGTGTCTCAAACTGTCATGAGCTCGACATAAATACAAGAAAGAACCCCTACCAAAGCTAGAACGACGGGTTACCTTTCTGCTAATATATTTCTTTCAATTGTTGATTTTTAGGACTTTATACCAACGGGACCTGGTTGTAACCCACCAATACCTAAAACAATCCCCAACTATGAAAACCAAATACCGATTACCTCCCAATTAAGGTTTTAAATATCGGATATCGGGAAAATATCGGATGACCAAAATTCATATCAGATTGCAGATATCGGGGATATGTGATAAATATCGGAATGTCATAATGAATGTTTGCATACATAGTATAATGCATTAAAATATAATCTCAACATATGTAATAAAATTTAAGCATATAAAATATGAATAATATATGTTTAGGATCACTAATCAACCTTCTAAAACAAACAAAAGTGTAAAGTAACGTTGCAACATTCGATCTGCTTTTTTTAAGACAATATCATTTGATATAATGGGGAAATCTTGATATCTCGTCCAAAAATTTTAAACACGGTATATTATTTTGCAACAAACTATATAAAAATATATATTGGTCCACATATCAACTAATATATCGGTCATATCGGGGATTTATCACTCAAAATAGTCAAAAAACGATAAAAGATATTTAAAGACCATATCGGTTACGACAAGCCCTGTAAAAGGATATATCGGGGGATATATCGGGCTATGTCGGGGATATTTAAAACAATGCTCCCAATGATGTCTCCTTGGAAGGCCCCCAAAT